AAAAAAAAAAGAATATGGGATATGGCAGACCATTAAAAAAGAGGCCTGCCATGTCTCATAATCTTAAAAAAGAAAGCCTACCTGTGGCTTTTGTCTCCTCTATTTTAAACAGAATTTTTCAAACTCACAAAGTTGAAGCCTGCCAATCATTATTTCAAGTACTCTATAGGACAAGCACTAGACTGTAAACTACAAGGTCAGAGGTTGCAGTTCACCAGTCATTCTGTGGGGAAAAGATGAGGTTTTCTGCTCTTGCAAAGATTTACAGCCTCAAAACCCTATACAGGGTGACTATGAATCAAAACTTAACAAAAACAACAAGATCATTAAAACATAATTTATCGTTCTAACATACTCATAAAAATATTTTGCTTTATTGACACTCTTTTCTATATTAACAATATTGTGATAAGATTTAAGTCCATCTAGCGTCTTCAGGCACATACACAATTTGAGTCAGGAGATTTTTATTGTATAATTAAGTTTCTCCTTTAAAATATCAAAAACATTTTCATATATTTCAAAACTTCTTGGTATAGCTGAAAGAATATGGCCTCTAAGGTAGTTCCTGGATCCGTTTATTTCATTGTTTTTGTTTTTTTTTTCAACCTAACTTGAACAGTATCTTCTACCTTACAGGTTATCAGAAAGGACTAAATTATATTATATACACAGAATCAATGGTTCAAAGTCACAAGCCACTCCGCAGAAACGCTATACAGGCTTGCTATGAGTCGGAACTGACTCGCAGGCACTTATCAACAACAAAGTATCTAATTCATTTGATAAATATACTCTTGTCCATTACATATTCTGAAGAGAATCCTTTCTATAAGAATAACACCTCTTCTATAACCTAAACGTGGTACAATGAATATAACTTTGTCTATACTTCACTACTAGTGATACAACGCTCAATAAATATATTGCAATGACAAAAGCAGGATGGACATATGTTCAGGACTGCCTAGGACAATCCCAGTTTAAACCTAAACATTCTCTGTTTTTGTTGCTGTTAAGTGCCAATGAGTAGGTTCCAATTCAGCGGCCCTGTATAGGGTTCCCAACGAGCAGCTGGTGAGTTTGAATCACTTACCTTTTGGTTCAAACTCACCTTCTGGTCCAATGCTCATCCTATGGCGCAACTAATCTAGCAAATGTGTCCCAATTTGGATGACAAATTTTATAGAGTCACCCAAGACATAAAAATCTATTGAGATATTGGTTAGATAATTCTTCTCTACTTCCACGATCATCCTGTGCATATATGTTATCTGTTTGTGTACATGCCCTATTAGATTCATCTTCCTAATAATGTAAGTTGTGTCTTAGTAATCTTTGTTAACTGTGCCTAAGTACTGGACTGCTAGTCACAAGGTCAACAGTTGAAACCAACCAGCAGCTCCTAGGAAATTCTATACAGGGTGGCTATGAGTTAAAACTAACTCAATGGCACTTATCTACAATGAACAAATAAATGAATGGTTAAATGTTAGAGTATGGATTTTTGTCTCTATTATGTAATAGCCTCATAACTACTCTGCATTTCCCACCACCTCCCAAATTTGTATTTTAATAAAGCTCAAAAATGTCTGATCCAGTGTTCTGGTAAGTAACTTACTTACTAGTATTTCCACTTCACATCCACTTCTATGCTGCCACCGTAGGAGTTAAATAAAAAATAAGAAAGCTGGAGTTAATTATATGTAACATGTTGCTGTTGTTGTTAGGTGCCATGGAGTCGGTACTGACTCATAGTGATCCTGTGTACAACAGAACAAAACGCTTCCCGGTCCTGGGCCAACCTCGCAACCTCACAATTGTTGCCACACTTGAACACATTGATGCTGCTATTTTGACAATCCATCTAGCTGGGGGTCTTCCTCTTTCTTCTGACCCCCACCTTACCAAACATGATATCCTTCTCCAGCAACTGGTACCTCCTGACAATAGGTCCAAAGTATGAGAGATGAAGTCTGGCCATCCTAGATCGTAGATAATAGCCTACAGGCTTTTGAGGTTCTGGGAAGACTTTGTCTACTGCCCAAAGCTTAACTGAAATATTACAGAAAGCTTCAGTGTTACAGTTACATATAATATAAATGTTTCTAACTACATTTAATATACTTACCCATGTGAGTCATCTGTTTTTTGGAAATATGATCATTTCTCATCTCTTCACACACTTCCATATCTTTGTCCGAATTTTTTTGTAACTTGTGTTGGGCGGTAAGTGACATATTTATATTTTTATCTGTAGGTTGTTCCACGTCAAGTTGTTTTTCAACTACATTGGTCTTAACTCTTCTTCTCTGTTTCTGTTTTATAATTCTTTTATTTCCTGATGACTTTTCTGCCTTCTCAGAATATACTGCATCTTTTATAGATTTATAATTCTCCATTTCATCTTCTGAAGCACAAAAAGTATCCAGTTTTTTTCTTTCAATGAGCTGAGATTTTTCTACTAGGTGACCTTTATGTGAAGATTTGTCACTTGTCAATGTCTCATCCATTACATTGTCATGTTTCTTTCTTGATTTTCTTCCTTGTAGGACTACACTGCTCTCAATAGGAGATACTGTGCATTGTTTTGGAGAATTAGCCTTTCGTGGTATCTTAAGCCAAGATCGAGCACCAAAACTTTTCTCAGATTCACCAATTACAAATTCATCCTCTAACAACATCACATCATTTGGAGAAGAATGGAGTGGACCATGCCTAACAACAGAACTGAAAGAATATATTTCAGTAAGCAATCTATCTGGGGGTGGGGGGATAAGCAGCAGCAGATTTTTGCCTTTGCTTAGTAAATAAATTATCTACATCTACAAAGAAATAAAAATAATCTACATAACTTTTAAAGTATAGCTTAAATGACTTCTCAATTTTCTGTTCCTAAAACTTTTCCTAACTTTGCATTTCTGAATATCGGGTCACCATGACCTTCGGTATGGATTGCAACTCAATGTACAGAACACAAAAGTCCTGACCACTGGACCAACAAATAACATCATGATAAATGGAAAATGTGACACAGTAGGATAAGCACTAATTTTCCTTCAGTCTAAAAGACAAACCAGACCAAAAAATGCCATCGAGTTTAATCTGACACATGGTAACCCTACGTGTGTCAGAACAACTATGCTCTGGGTTTACAATGGATGAATTTCACAATGGAATCTCTAGGTGAACTCCAACCTCCAGTCTTCCTGTTAGCAGTGGAGCATGTTAATCAATTATACTACCTAGTACCTGTTAAAGAATAATTAACAGGTTAAAGGGTAATTAAAAGGGTAACTACATTCTACTTACATATCAGATAAAATTTCACCACCAACTAACCCAACTGTCATATTTGTGGCCCATTAAAAGATTAATTTCTAAATTAAATAGTATTAACAAGCCTTACATACTGTTTACAGAATTTTTTTTAAAAAAAGGTCTCAAAAGAACAGTTTATTAAATAACTTACCTAGATTCAGTTTTTCTTTTCACAGTTTCTAAAAACAATGTTGAAAATCTCTTTTTAGCTTGGGGTTGAATTTCATACTCTGAATCTTGTGTTCTTTTCTGAGATGCTCCTGATGGCCTCCTCTTTTGTGGTCCTTCTGATACTTTATCCTCTATTTCTATTTTTTTCAACACATTTTTACCTTCAAAGTTTAACCTATACATTAAAAGGTTAAAAGGAAGTTAAGTTGAATGTCTTAACAAAGTTTACTGAGTTTTAAGTCTTCCTAAACTTTCTTACAGTAACAATATAGAAACATCTTACTTAATTTATCTATTTGTAAACTCTTACCCAAAATATACAAAGTAAAATGCTCAAGAAACAGCAGTATTTGTCAATTAAAAAATAATAATAATAAATAGTTAAATAATACTCTAGAAGGAATGCTTAGTTTAGACCATGGGTCCTCAAATATTTACAGTATAATTGAAACATCTAGAAAATGTTGACTCAATAGGTTAAGGGAAAATTTTGAAATTCTATATATCTATAAAATCCCAGATAACACCATTTATTTTAATGCTGACCACACTTTATGTAGCAAAGTGTTAGAATATGTTTAATGACTCTAGGAATTATTCAAGACTCTAGACAAAAATGGCACTCATTTCACGGAAGTCTCCAACAGTAAATATTCTTCGAAGATCTACTTTGTTTTCTGTAGGTTTAAAGGGAAAACACCACAATGGACTACGGTTTATCACAATATACCACAGTTCACCAATAAGTATACTTTGGTACTCTAGAAATAACTTTACACATACTTACCTCTGCAAATGACAAATAACATTAAAAAATCAATTATATCTCTTAGAATTTTTCCATGTTGTTGCTAGGTGCCATCAACTCGGAACTGACTCATAGCAACCTTACACACAGCAGAACGAAACACTGGCCCGATCCTGGGCCAACCGCACTATCGTTGCCACACTGGAGCCCACTGATGCTGCCATTTCGCAAATCCATCTCACTGGGGGTCTTCCTCTTTTTCTCTGACCCTCCATCCTTACAAACATGATATCCTTCTCCAGTGACTGGTCCCTCCTGACAATATGGCCGAAGTATGAGGGGTGAAATTTGGCCATCCTGGCCTCCAAGGAGCACTCTGGCTGTATGTCTTCCAACACAGATCTGTTGGTTCTTTTATCAGCCCATGGCAATTTCAACATTTTCCTCCAATACCATAACTCAAAAGCATCATCAATTCTTCTACGGTCTTCCTTATTCACTGTCCAGCTTTCGCATGCATATGAAGCTACTGAAAATACCATGGCTGGGGTCAGAGGCGCACCTTTGTCTTCAAGCTGAAATCTTTGATCTTCAACACTTTAAAGGTCTTGTTCAATAGATTCGCGTAATGCAATACGTC